AAGTATTCCAGGAAGGAAGCAACTTTCCTATCTGGAAAGCAACAGTCACCCAAGCATTCGTTGAGTGTACAGGTCGGTAGTCTGGATTTCCAATTTTAATACATTTCTAAATGGAGTAGAAATTATCGATTTCAAAACCATAGATAATTGAGCTTACACTTCAATAGATGTCTTACTATGTATGACCCTAACTATCAGAATTTAGTTCTGTTTAAATGGCCTCTTGTCTAGCTGGACAGAAATGACATACATCATATTGTCAAAAATGGAATCGGTTGTATCTCTCTGGAGTACTTCCATCAGTGTCCCTGTTTCGTCACATGAAGAACATCAAAATCGCCTGACACTCATTTCTAGTACTGCTACTCTCTGCTTCAAATTTTCAATTTGTTGTTCCCAGTGGTTCATTTCGTTGACTCTGTTATAGTTACGGTTGTGCTTAACACCTGTCTGGTTATCTTCTCTAACCCATTAGTTGTGCTACGTTAGCCAATTATAGTTGATATAATTTAGCATCTAAAACGTTTCCGATAAACTGTAACGACAGTAATTGAGTCCCAAATACTTCCTCAGGCGTGGAAATTGTCTGCTGAAGTAGGTTTGTCACCATTACCTGATTCCGGAGTCATGGCACGAAACTGCTGCGCTGCCTCTTGTCTATCTGTCAGGCTTTCGAAACCTCAAAGGAAGCTTTGAATATATACCTCTCTCTCTCTCCATCTCTGAAAGCTACAGGTCACAGGATCTTCATCTGGTCCAAGGCAGTATCCTCAAATGTAACAGCCAGACATCGAGCTGTTTGATAATAGAATCTCCTTTTGTACGAGTAACAATATAATCCTATAAAATTCCTGGCCGTTAGTAATTGTCACGCAATTGCTGACAGATAACATTACATAACCCTGTGTGTTTGTGTTATTTCTTTTATTTTATCTTTCCATTACAGTTATCACCGAGTCAATTCACTGTGTTATCGTTCACACGTGTTCTTCAGTCTCTCACTCTATGGGAAATTCTGCTGCCAGCTACTACTGTAGCTATTGATTTTATACGAATGCGTGTTTTAGATATGTCCATTGAAGAATACTTGGACTGGTTATGTGAAGTAAGTCCTGTCTTACATCTTATTTTTATGCAGTCTAACTGTAATAGATCCTCTTAACTGAATGAGTAGAGTTCATTTATCCAGTAGTGACATCTAATATATTAGGGCTGATATTAGATAGTTGGAGGCAATTGGCCACAGGAAGCCTTACCTGACCTAGGTTTCGTGCTAGTTGGCACTCACAAGTCAGCAAGGCGTATCTGCAACCACCTTGAAGGAACTCCTGTCCCTTCTGAGATTCGAACCCGCGTCACCCAGTGCTACCTGAAGTCAGAGACGTTACCACTGAGCTATTCGAACTCGCGATTGACCTCCTGTAGGACTGTAGTGGGTATTTTCATTCAACACTAGGTTGCATATACGCCTTGCTGACTTATGAGTGCCAACTAGCACGAAATCTAGGTGATGTCCAAGACTTCCTGCCGATTGCATATCATCAAATCAATGTTCACCGTGATGGTGAGCTACCTAGTGGCATGGTGGCCACACTGCAAGCCGACTGAGAGAATTCAGTCTGCTCCAAGGAAAGGACTAGACACGTCACACTAGTTACTAGTGTCCAATGAAAATATTAGGGCTGACGATACTATGCATATACTTAGGCTGAAATAAGTACGTGGGGTTGAGATTTGAATCCTCAGTGCAGCGGCTGGAATTCTCCATACTCTCAACTAGGTATCCTCGGAGCTTCATTCCACAGGTTTCACATTTTGGCTAGGTTCAGAAGAGTTTCATTTAAATGGTCTCGGTGCATATATTGTCCTTAAGTTAGATATTAAGGATTGTTTTCGCAGCTTCGTTCCTCTCCAGTACAGAAGAAATTTAGTAAGGACCCTCAGCCACAGGGTTACACAGCTATATGCTCAGAAGAGGTGGCTGAAGATGAACTTAGCATTGTATATAACATATTGATTGAAAATAGCTATCCAGACAAATTCATCAGGTAACATATTGTAACAACAGAAGACAAAGGCCAGGCAACAGATAGTTTATTAAGGAAATCAGGATGTATTTATAGATTTTCACGTACATTATTATAGATTATTGTTAGCAGAAAAACACAGTTTTCTGATTGGTTGTTTCACACTGAAAGTTAATGTTTCATCTCTTTGTGGCTGTTTCTTGAATCTCGGATCATCTATAATATGCTAACTGTATCCGCGTACGCAAAGTCTGTTGTGGTTGGTTGTTGAATCAGTCTTTGTTCATACTTTTCTCATGACCAATATTGGAGACGTAAACATTGACGTTAATTACTGTCTGCCAATTTTGGCTTGCAGCCAGCTCTCTCCACTGTAGGCTGTAGACTTTTCTCGTCAGCCTCCACCCTTCACTCCATACTGAAAATCAGATGGCCCACCTGCCAGGAAGGATGAACAGTGAGGAAGTCTAGCAGGCAGCAAACTGACCAATAACCTTTTGTTCAACAAATATATGGAAAAAAATGCAAATGGGTCGGATATAATACGTTCAGGAGACCATTGAATGATGGCACACGCCATTCAAACTCTCAAGTGGAACTTGAATGGGAAATGGTGATTTGGGCAAGATTTCAAAGGTGACCCAGAGGAGAAGATTATGTGGAGAGGAAACGAAAGATTGTGGAATCAGCTTAACCGGAGCCAGCAGAGAAAAGAGAGAAATGTTGATGTACTGCTGAAGTCATTGCTTATCCACTTCGCCTAGCCTGTTGGGAGTGACACTGACAACTGTGACTGAGATATAGAGGTTATGATGGCTGTCTTCCAAGAAGTTGGCTAGGGTTCGACTCCCGACGGTCGTATTGTAGGGTTAGAAGACAAGATACTTGGTGAGAGAATGTTTATTTGGAATTCGGTATCTCTATATAAGGAAATTGCACAGATCTTCCGTCTTGTGCTTGCTACTTCTGGCCTTCATATTGTATTTCTTCGGCTTTTTTTCGTGTCTCCCACGTTTTGCTACAATACTGGTTCATTTGCTTTCTCCGTTATTTGATTTTTTTCGTGCCAATGAACGCCTCTTTATATACTACTTATAAATCTTATCAGTAGCTCACGCCACAGTTTAACTCTTTGATAGTATACAATACTACTGATGTTTTCCGCTTTATTTATGTGATTTATTTCTCTTGAATAGGCACATCCAAAAGTCAAAAGTTACATCCTTCATGAAAATGAAAGTGAATCTTGATAGCACCAATGGGACATCATGATGAAAAGTGTCAGTCAACATAGAGAATTTATCCACACTCATCCAGAAGACTTAAATCATCCGCTTCTATTGATTTTTTTTTACAATGCTAGTCATCATTAGTAATATTTATTAATGTTTTTTTTACTATTTTGTTGCTTACTGCTTACATTTTATCAAATAATTCTCATGAATAAAAACAGCTGGGTAACCTTCATTTGTTCATCGTCTTTTTGGGGATTGAGGATTCTCCCTGGGAACCTTGTTACTCTGACCAATATATTGAGATAGCAGCTTAATATAAAATGTTTGCATGTATGTATGTATGTAAAGAATGAGCATTACTCGCCAACCATGTCCGTAAGAGCAATATCGCGTAGATAAGGGCTATCCCGCTCCAGAACAAACAAGAAGCCGGTCACTGTTTCTACGGTACTATTAATTAACAAATCAATAAATATATATACAACAAACCTTAACGGTTTCAAGAGTACAAAGCACAACGCTTAACAGAAAGCAAGGTACCGCTATCAGAGCGGAATAACGTTAAAGCCAAAATTGCGAACTAGCCGGAATCGGACACGACCGTTCAGGTAAACAGTCAGTAGAAGAATGAATGAACTCAAGTAAGGCAGGGTATAGAACAGAGAGCGGTTAAGAGATAGACAGAGCATCGGCACAAAGATAGAATTTAATTGGCTACTTAACCAGGTAGGCTGATACAGATGAAGATCAATAAATAAGATAAACTCGACAGAATAGTACAAAGTAAGACATGGGTCAGCAAAAATAACAGTTCACAAAATACTCTGATTGGGTCATGAGTCCAACGGTCTGACTAAACGGATCGATGTAAAAACACACACACAGTTCATTAAACAAGGGGGGGTAGACACGTTAGGCATGGATAATTGGGTCGCAACAAGGCTAGGCTGATCCGGGACAGGTTGACTTGATTCAAGGATAGGAATTGAATTGATCTTAGAATGCCCAAGATCTGAGTGCCATTCGCAGCCTAAGCAATCCAAAACCGAAGCCTATTTTACCTGATGGTATTAAGTGCGGATTAAAGCGAAGTTTGGGCTTGAAGTTAGCAGCCTCACACCTCCACTAATAAAGCTTCACAGCTTGAAGTCATGTGTTCTATTCGGAACGCAAAAGGGATGGAATAAATAACGAAAATATCCGGCAGTCGTTGAATTAGCTCCATTATAGATAAGATTTTATTTTGATAAGTTGTTATACAGTAATATTAACTGATGGCCACGTTTCGAACACAATTTATTACTGCTCATAATCATATCAAGTCACTACTCACACAACTTTTTCCTTCATTTATATACATGAGTTGAATTGATGAATGGACATTTGAATAAAAATCAATATAGGATAATGTACATTCAGAAATAATAATATAAGTGTTATCAATCAAATACAATTAGATGGGAAATAAGACGAGTGTTTTTATAATCATAATAATTTACTTGTTAGAATGTTATGATGTACGTGAATTGAAATCGAGTTTTAAGATAATTTATTATCCTCCTCTGATTTGACTGACTGGTGGTAATAATATCTTCCATATTTCTGATATTTGCATTGAGTCATTTCTGTCGCGTGTGTTGGATGTAGACTCGATGAACCAGGCAGGATTCAGTAATCAATCTCTTTCTTCACCTACATTATTGCTCATAATCATATCAAGAACTTGATATGATTATGAGCAATAAATTGTGCTCGAAACGTCATCAGTAAATATTACTGTATAACACTGTGAGACTCTATCAAAGTAAAATTTACCCATAATGGAATTACACTCTACCACAGTGCCCAAGTTTTATTCTTATATCAATGATATTTAGGATATTCAGGTAGTAAGAAGGTTTTGGCGTCTTTGGAGTACAAACCCATGATGAGATTAATGGCAGAAGACGAGTACGTTTTCAATCAGCCTTTTTATAAATTGTGGTGTTGAAAAGATAAATTCATTAAATTTATTTTGGTTTGGTGAGACTATTTGGGGTCATCGTAATGGGTCTTGTTCTAATGCATATACTGCTCCTGAGATCTCAGATTACTCAGTGTCGTCTTCTAGTCTAGATAAAAAGTCCATAACAGATGATGTGAGACCCGTGTAGGAAATTGTCGCGCTCGATGTCACGTCTGTAAGAGTATGATTTCACAATCTCGACATGCTACTAATAAGAGTCGGAAGTATTCTGTTGGAAAACGCTTTCAGTTACGCGTACAGCAATTCTGTGTAATATATTCAGAAAGAGCTAACTTGACACATTCGCGTTGAAAATCCGGGTCTTATTCCGTGTCATTCATAGAGAATTGAGATTATTTCACACTTTTTACTGAAGTTTTCACTGAAGCAAGGCTGAGGAAGGACACTGAAAGCTCTGTAAAACTAAACCAATAACTCAGCACAGAAAACACAACCACATTCAAATTCTCCACCTGAGCTACAAATCATCTCTATTATTTCAAAGCGTATCATATTGTGACAACAGAAGACAAGGGCCAGGCAACAGATCGTTTATTTTGGAAATCAACAGATATTTACATATTCTCATGTACATTATCATAGATTATTGTAAGCAAACAAACTCAGTCTTCTGATTGGTGGTTGTTCGCTGAACGTTTGTGACCGTTTCTTGAAGTTCAGATTATCTGTCTGCAAATTGTATCCGCCTACGCAAAGTCTGCTGTGATTGGTTGTTGAGTCAGACTTTGTTCTTATTTTTCTCTCGAACAATATTGGGGACGTAAATATTGACGTAAATTACTGTCTACCAATGTGGCTAGCAGCCAGCTCTCACCACAATATTACTTGTAGTTGAAACAAGCAACAAAAGATGTGTTAATAAAGCAGAATTTAATGATGGGTTCATCAAATTTCGGTAGAACTCCTCAGCTGAATATTCTACATACACGGATATATTTACGCTATTGATATTACATTGGGAGATATAAGACTGATAAGCACAAATAAACTACATTGAATTAATCATGCAGAAAGACAGGTGAGAATGTTTTCCAGGTCATGTTCAAATAGATAAGTGGGGGAAGGCAGTATGAGAGATTAAAATTAAGATAAAATGCATTACAGTTCAATTACACATCACTTAGATAAACAATTAGTCATTAGAGAATATATCAAGAATTGCAAACATAGTAATATAAATAGTAATAGTTATGATAATAATAATAACAATAATAATAATGTTGGAGTGAGTTAAGATAATGCTACTGATAAAATGTAGTTATAAATGAATGTGAACATGATATCGACGCTATCAAGTCATTCACTATTGTCAGCAGACAAAGAAACAGGGAGATGCTTGCAATTGCAGAGACTTGCACAGTTCGAGTTTATAAACCAGATCTCTGTGTACAATGCGAGATGGTCGTGACTCTATATCTACCATAGTAACACTTTAATCTACCTCTTATTGTTATCATTCTTGATTTCTTCATTTATAACTATCTTTTATCAGTAGTATTATCTTAACTCACTCCAACATTATTATTATTGTTATTATTATGATAACTATTACTATTGATATTACTCTGTTTGCGATTCTTGATATATTCTCCAATGACTAATTGTTTACCTAAGGTTGTTTTCTTGCTAAAGGTTATTCTGTACTGCTTATGACCGTTTCTCAGAAAGTTAAGCCATATGTCTGCGAATGGTATTTGCACACGTTAAGTCTGCTGGGATTGGCTGGTGAGTTCCTCGAGGTTAAGCTTTTGTTGTTTTTTTCGGGACGTGTAACATTGACGTAAATTGTTGTCTACAATTTTTGGCTAGCAGCCAGCTCTCACCACAGTAAGATATAAGTGCTGAAAGTAGGAGTTAAGTGAATGTGAGGTTGACAACCAGTCCGTGTTAAAATACCAGTCATACTGAAACTTCAAAGCTTGAACCCCCCCTCCTTCGCATGTTCCACCTGGAAGCCGAAAGGAACTAAAGAAAGAGGAAAAGAGATAACAAGAACCCATGGATCGCATTATACGTAGAGATGAATTAAAGTCTAAATATCAATTGGAATCCGTTAACTTTTAAGGCAAGCTTAGTTAAGTGTCTAACGAACCGAGCAGTAGCACTAAGTAGCACAAAAAAAGACCTAAATGATGAAATGAAACAGGTAGAAGAAGCGTTGGTGTTGAACAACTATCCTATAAAATTCATTAGGGAGATCATAGAAGGTCACAAGAAAAGTAAAATTAATAGTGAAACTAGTATTGATAACATAAATAAGAGAGAATATAAGTCATATACTGTTATACCATATAAGGAGGGGACCTCTGAGACACTCCCTACGTAGGATTCTTAATAAATCGGGAATTAGGGTGGCATTCAAACCTACAAACTCACTCAGGTAGGACAAGCTCTGTAGGCTGAAAGACCGGGTGGACCCAATTAAACAAAATAATATAATTTACAAAATACCCTGCAATGACTGTGAGTGAAGTCAACTATATAAGTCAAACTGGTAGATCGGGCTTAGCCAGATTATCAGAATATAAGGATTTGGCTCAGGTTAAAATGTTTTCCCCTGCCAAGATATGTAATCTAGAAAGCAACTCATCAATTTCACTGCATGCATTCACACACAACAACAAAATAGGGTGGGAGACGGTGGAAATTCTAGGAAGTAATATAGGTAGGTGGAGAGTGAGAGAGACTGATTACTGAATTCTGGTTCGTCGAATCTACACCCAACACGTGCGATGGGAATGACTCATCACTTATACCGGAAATATGGAAAATACTACTACCAATCAAGTTAAGCGATGGAAATAATGGAATTATATAAACGAAGTTAGAAAGTTGTGTGAGTAATGCCTTGATATGATTATGAGCAGTAATAAATTGTGCTCGTAACGTGGTCATCAGTAAATATTACTTGCTGTATAACACTGTGAGACTTTATCAAAATAAATTTTTACCTATAATGGGATTATACTATACCACAGTGGAAAAGTTT